ATGTTCAGAAATCAAGGTAAAGCATTAAGGCTTTTTTATGAGTCAATAAAGTTTAAAGCTTTTTAATGATTTGCTAAGTCTGGCGGGATATGATCAGATAGTGTGTCTATAAGATTACACGTTGAAAAATCACATATGTGAGTTTGAAGTATAATCCGCTTTAAGGAGAATAAAAGTAAAGGCCCATTCTCTAAGCACTCATGAAACCAGGCGGTGTTCATGGCTGAAACGAACATAACCGTGAGAACCATAGATGGTTAAGGGTTGATTGTGTGACTTATGTTGTCTAGGTATATAACAAAGCTTGACGGTTCGAAGATATCAAATCTACTGATTGACCGAGTATATCCGATATAAGCTCACTACAGAAAGTTCAAAGAGAAACTTACTTATCCAGATGCAATTAATCCTTGTATGTAAAACACATACTCGTCTGTGCATTCCTTTGTCTTATAGCCATTCCCCATTCACGTGGGGGATTGTTGGGATTAAAGATTGGTGAATGGGAAATGGAGGGAAGAAAGAGGAGGGAAAGTGAGCTCCATTTTGCTTTGGAAAGAGCAAAGTGTCCCTCATTGGTGGTGGAAAGAAAAGTAAATGTGCTTATATTGAGAAAGCACTTCTCTTGGTGTTAAATGGGTTGGAAAGAAAGTAAGCCTCGCGCCGTTGTCGTCGTCGCTCGGCCTCGGCTTCGGCTTCGGATTTGGTCAAATATCGATTGATTGATTAATCTTTTTGGACAAAATTTCTTTCAATTATTTAATTAATTAACGAAAATTCAACCCAAAATAACCCAGGACCCGCGACGCGACCCGGTCCGGTCCGTTTTCTTTCCCAGATTATTTTAAATCCATTTTTCTGCAATATTTCAAACAGCCTGTTCCAACAGCCATGGCTATTTCTGAAAGGTTGCAAGCCATTTCAGAAACAGTGCCAGGAAGTTTATAAATATGCTTTGAATCCCAGAATCTTTCCTTAAGAAATTTTCTGCTCTTCTTCTTCTGCACAGAATCTTCAGTGTGTTTTACAGCCTTCGAGTGGCTCGCTGTTACATCGGCGTTTTTGGTACCAACACTCTGGTTAGTTAAATCGTTCTATCCTAGGAGGATAATATTCCAGCACCTCGGGTACTTGAGGGGAATAATTTTCTTAAGGACACACGATTTATTCCGAAATTATTTTTTCAAAAATTATTTCTACATTATGTTCTTTCATTATTTACAGAAATACATATTGACTAACACGTTACTCTCTATTTTTCCTTTAAGTAATTAATTGAAAATAGTGTTGCTTGATCGACGCACGCCTACCTTGATGGACTGGTGATCTTCTAGTGATTTTGGCGGTTTTCTAGTGATCTTTATCGTTAATGCAACTTTGGTTTTGTTCAATGATAAAGTTACATTCACTGCCTCTAAAAGATATGATTATTCATGGTTAATCAGTAATATGAGTTAGTTGTGAATTACTTAGCTTTGTGCGCCTACAGTTCGGCGAGCAAGAGACCACCACTCACACTTAATGTCTAGCAATTTCAAATCCGCTCGCCCACTGTCTATGTTAGTTTAGTTAGATCATTCTTTTCTTGTTAATAAATATAAAAATGAAGTAAGCGATAGGAAGACAAATGTCGCAATATCTAAAGACCTCGTCAATTTTCGCCTTGTTAAGGCATTGAGTTTGATGAAGGAAAATAAAGTGTATTTATTGTAATTTCTTGAATTTGATCCCTGTTGTTCCTCTCTAAGTTTCAAAACATCAATCCTTATGTTATCTCACTTAACAGTCAAAATCCTTTAAATTTCAGAAACTTGACCAAAAACATCCATCCGTTAACTTCTTCATCTTTTCTAACAGAACTTGCTTTATCTTTCTTTTTTTCTTTGTTTTATTCCCACATAAAGAACAAAAACAATTGTTGAATGACATTGTAAAATATAGTAATAGTATAACACCTTCACTGAAATTTCTAGCTCTTAGCTCTTTAATTTCTGAGTCTGCTTTAATTACGGTAAATAGAGCTTTCTTTATATTTCTCAAAAATTCTCAAAAATAAAGTTTAGAGAATGTAGTCAACGAAAGCAGCATCAAGCAAACTGATCATAGAAATTTTCACTCCTTCCTGCATTTCTTTGTGATTCCTAATTAAAATAAACTGATCATAGAAAGTTAGTTAAGTTTTTTGGGTAAACGAGGGAAAAGAAGAAAATATTTGATTGGCCTCCATTGGAGATATCTCCTAATGGTGATAACTAAGCTAGAAAGGATTTTGGGATTGTAGATTGGCATATAGCAGCTTGATGTTGTTTGTTTGGAGCAAAGAAAGACAGAAAGGAAATACTAATCATTTGATTAGCTATGAGGGAGCTACCTTACATCACTATGATCTCTTTCTCCCGTGAGCTCATTCTAAAGATGAGAAATCTAGAGATGGGCATTGGATTTGCGAGGTTTTGAATGAAAAGAAAAAAGGAGAATTTTTTTTAGCATGTTGCTGGTGTTAAATTCGGCCAATTAGTCGGTTGCTTTTTTGTTCTTTGAAGAACTTGTTTGCAATTATTTAAAAGGAAGGGAAAAAAACAGCAAAGCACCTGACAAAAGAGAAAGTTCTGTTAGAAAAGATGGAAAAGTCAACGGAGGGATGTTTTTGGCCAAGTTTGAAACACTTAAGGGTTGATGCCGGTTAAGTGAGATAGAATAAGAATGTGATGGAACTTAGAGCGAAACAACATGGATGATATTGGTCAAAAACTCTTCTAAAGATTCATCAAACAAGAAGATTTTATGAAATTAAATACATTACAAAGATGACGAATAGTACAATATTTATTTTGCTATATCTTATTGTTGTCACATTGTCATCATCCCCAAGGATGTCTTAATAAAACTCGTGGCCTAAAGCCAAATTTTAATAAGAGACTTTTTTTTTGTCTATATTGTAGTTATTTTATAAAATATAATATTAATATTTACATTGATTTCTTTTTTTCTTTCTTTTTGTCTGTAATTTAGTTATCTTACAAATTATAATACGGAGTACAAATATTCACATTGGTAAGATAATTCAAGTTACTAAGATGTAGCCATATTTACCATGTGTTACCATTGATCTTATTGTAAAAAATATTATTTATCAAAATAAGAATTTGAGTAGTTTAATTCAAAGTTCTAAAATATTTCTATTGTTAAAAAATAGATAATTTTTCTTTCTACTTTTGTAAGGAGTTTGTATAAACTTCAATATTGTCTAAGTAAAAATAAGATAGAAAATTCATAACTAAAAATATTTTTGGGGTCCCAAAATTTAAAGGCCTAAAACAAAGGCTTTACCTCTGATCATCCCCAATTAGCTAGTAATTTTTTTTAGAGTAAACCAAATTGTTTGGAGCAAGCAATGGCTCCATCATACATATCTTCCCGATTGTATTTGAACTTGAATCCAGTGTCCGATAGTTTCTTGGAACAAGGGCGTGGGAACTTGAATTCTTTTGTCGCCTTCGAACAACTGCAATTGAATTAAAATGGCCAATAATTTTCACTTTCGTACGTACATAATATATAATTGTAGTAACTAAAATCAACGCTTAAGAATAATGTGATATTTTGCCCTATTCTTTTATCTTATTTTTGCAAAAAATATTTAATCCAAAATATTTGTCACTCTAAAAAACTTAACATTTAGTATTAATTATTTTGTTTCAGTTCTATCCTTACTAATAAGACACATAGAGCCCGTTTGGATGGGCTTGTTTTAAGTGACTTCTATGCCAAAAGTCATAAGTTAGGAATTCTAATTTTTGGCTTATTTTTGTCATTTTAGCTTAAAAATAAGTGCTTAAAAATACTTTTTTACTTTATCCAAAAGTTATTTTGACTTAAAAACACTTAAAATAAGTCAATCCAAACGAGTTCATAGTCATCATTTATTCAATTAGGAAAGTGATAAGGATGAGCTAGTCGAATTGTCAAAACTTTAAACGACATATAAAAATAACGCATAAAGAGAGGAAAAACTTACTCAATATTTGGAATTTGGTATTAAGGATATCTAGGCATCTAGCTCTTAAAAATTGAGACAACTCATCTGGAGTTATATTTGCACTAGAACAAATGTACCTCCCTTTTACTTCACATATTTCCAAAAGAAATATGTGAGCTCGAGCAACTTCATCTACGTGCACTAACGCAATAACCCCAGAATCATACTCTATCCTACTCCAATTACCTACAAATTTAATATGACAAAGTGAAATAGTAGCACACAATAATATACTTAACTTATATGTTATACTCCCTCCGTTCATTTTTACTTGTCCACTATTAACTTTGCACGCCCCTTAAAAAATAATAAATAAAATGCATCATTTACCATGATAAACATATTAATTGGTGTATAGTCTTAATGGATTTGGAAAATGATTTGGAATGAATAATTAATACTAAGGGCAAAACATGAAAATTAAATTATTTTTCTATTGATATGCGAAAAGTGATAAATAAAAATTTATTTTTGGAATACTTGACAACTAAAAGTGAACGGGGGAAGTAAAATACCTATTGTATAAAGAAATTAAAATCTTAACATAAATAGCCGATCGGATTCAACTGTTTACCTAGAATCATAACCAAGGAAACACAAACAACTTCAGGGCATTTTGAGGAGTAATAAACGGGCCAGCATGATTTGCACACACAAGATCTAGTCCATTTTTTATGCAAAATTTAGAACTTCTTTTTCTATTAAGGTCTTACTTATTGAGTAAAAAGCTCCTAAAGGATTCAACCTTTTTGATAAAATCAATATCACTCCACGAACTTTCGTGTACTACATCTGGACCCTTATGAATATAACCAACTGCAGCATCACTTGATGTGTATATAACTCTTTTAATTGTTTCTGAATCAAAAATGCCTTTAAAATGCTTAAAATTCCAGTTATAGCTCTTTGGATCTTCGTTTCCTCATCGTTTTTATCCTCGAAATCAACAGAATGAGCAATTATGACTCCATTGCATCCTTCAATTGCTGGAAGAAAACTTTCAGGATTATCAAGATTTGTTCTAAATATTTTGAGTTTCTTGGATGTATTTGGTAAGTTTTCCAAGAAATTTCCTTCTTCTGGCGGCATAGCAATGCATGTTCCAAGTTCACAAAAAGGGGAAGTTAATTTTATTCTCCGATTACAAAGGGAAAAGAGTTAAAAATAAAACTCTTCTTTCGATATAAAATATCTTAATTTTATTCTCCCATACATCTTGGAGCCATGCATATTCTTGTCGTTAGCAAAATTATCTCGTATTTAATTTTGACGCTAACAGAACTCTAAAAGCACCCTGACCCCTCTTCATTCTCTACAGGGTTCCAAATCTTTCTTCAATATAGGTGACAACGAGCCAAGAGATCAAACACTTCTATGCACAGATGAAGATCAGGGCCAACAAAAATGCCATCACATCTATCTATAATGATGTGGGAATAAAGATCAGTGACCCAAAGGCCGTGGAGAAAAAATTCCTTACATTCTTTACAAAGCTTATGGGCGAAGCAAATGGACTGATGCCTTGTCCAAACTAAAGCATTATCAAAAATGAAAAATGACTCACCTTAAGTCATCAGCAGGAACTAATACAAGACATATCACTGGAGGAGGTCGATGCAGCCATCAAAGACATGCCAAATGATAAAGCTCTTGGAGTGGATGGGTTCCCTACAGAATTTTTCACTAAGCACTAGGAGATTGTGAAGCAGGATGTCTATGTAGCAGTGAAGCATTTCTTTCACACAGGGAAACTGATGAAAGCTTGGAACTGCACTGCTATTACCTTGATCCCTAAGGTCCCAGCACCAGCTCAGGTGAAAGATTACAGACCAATAGCATGTTGCACTACATTGTACAAGATCATTGCTATGATAGTGACCAACAGACTCAAGAAAGTGATAGAGGTGATTATTAGGAGATTACAATCAGCCTTCATAGAATGAAGAAGTATTATTGACAACACTCTATTTAGCCATGAACTATTTAAAGGCTATAATAGGAAAGGTATATCTCCTAGATGTGTACTGAAAGTGGATATTAGAAAGGCATATGACTCATTGGATTGGCATTTCCTCATATGCATGTTAGCAGACCTTGAATTCCCTCAAAAGTTCATCAGTTGGGTCATGAAATGTGTAACCACAATCTCTTATTCTTTGGTATTCAATGGTGATCTTACTAAACCATTCCAGGCTAAGAGAGGGATAAGGCAAGGGGACCCAATGTCTCCCTATCTCTTTGTCATTGTAATGGAATACCTACAAATCGAGATGAACCAGTTGCCCATGATCAAAGAGTTCAAGTACCACCCAAGATACAAAAAGATTGGAGTGACACATGTCTGTTTTGCTGATGATTTGCTTATATTTTGCAGGGGTGACATAAGTTCACTCACCATACTTCAGGAAACCTTTCAAAGGTTTTCTGCTGCATCTGGTCTACAGGCAAATACAGACAAAAGTTCCATCTATATTACTGGGGTTTACAAGGATCTTAAAGATACATTGATAAGCTTAATAGGATATACAGAGGGCTTCCTACCATTCAAATACCTGGGAGTACCCCTGTCTACCAAGAAGTTAAATATACAACAGTGCTTACCATTGGTAGAGGAGATCACATAAAGAGGGAGTTGTTGGTCAGCTAAAATGTTATCATATTCAGGAAGAGTGTAACTAATCAAGTCTGTGATCTTTAGTATGCAGACATATTGGTCTCAGATCTTTGTACTTCCCAAGAGGATCATGAGGCTGATTGAAACTATATGCAGAACCTACTTGTGGACTGGTACAAGTGCTACATCTAGGAAGGCCTTAATAGCATGGGAGAAAGTCTGCCAACCTAAGGCTGTTGGTGGCCTAAACATCATCAATATGGGAATGTGGAATAAATCAGCAATTTTAAAACAACTATGAGCATTGGTAAGGAAAAATGATTCACTTTGGATCAAATGGGCACACTGTTACTATATAAAACAGAGAGACTTAGACACTATGACTTCACCTTAGGCAGTTGCTTGGGTGGTAAGGAAGATCATAGATTTTAAGCAAGCTTTGATGCAGATGAACACAATACAGGGCAATCTTAATGCCAAGTTGACAATGCTGGAGACTGGGGGCAGATTCTAGATAAAGAGGGCTTATACTCAATTGCTCTCTCAATTTCCTAAAGCTACCTGGAAGAGTATTCATATGCATCCTCAGATTCATCCTAGATTCAAGTTTCACATGTGGCTGGCTGGCCATCAGAGGTTATCTACTGTGGATAGGCTGCAGAAATTTGGGATTCAAGTGCCTTTGAACTGTGTCTTTTGTGCACTGAACATTGAAACATTTAGTCATCTATTTTTTGAATGCTCCTGCACTAGCATGCTATGGATAAGAATGCTCAAATGGCTAGGACATCATAGAAGAACTGGCAGCTGGCAAAATGAGGTAGAATGGGTAAGTTCACTAGCCAAGAGAAAATTTGGTATAACATCCATCACTGCCTCAGTCTTTGCCATGGTGATATATTGTATTTGGCGTGAAAGGAATTCAATCAGGTTCAGCAAAGGGACCTACGATGCTGACAAGATATGCAGAGAAATTGCAATACACATGCACATACAAGGGAGATCAACAAGCAAATGACAGTCAAAATTGAAATGCTTGAATCATTATTCATAGGCTAGAATGATGGCTCTGTTTGTTAGAAATATAATTAGTATAGTTTAATCTTGTTTCTTTAAATTTGGAGGTGGATGGTCTACATCTACCTGGCTTTGTAAAGACAGTTTTTATGATGGAATAGAAAGTCTGTTTAGTCAAAAAAAAAATTAGATAGAAAATTCATAACTAAAAATATTTTTGGAGCTCCAAAATTTAGGGGCCTAAAGTAAAGGCTTTACTAGTTTTTCCCTTGAGCCCGATCATTCCCAATTAGCTAGTAATATTTTTAAAGTAAACCAAATTGTTTGGAGCAAGCAATGGCTCCATCATACATATCTTCCAGATTGTATTTGAACTTGAATCCAGTGTCCAATAGTTTCTTGTAACATGGGCGTGGGAACTTGAATTCTTTTGTCACCTTCAAACAACTGCAATTGAATTAAAATGGCCAATAATTTTCACTTTCGTACGTACATTAAATATAATTGTAGTAACTAAAATCAACGCTTAAGAATAATGTGATATTTTGCCCTATTCTTTTATCTGTTATTTTCGCAAAAAATATTTAATCCAAAATATTTTTCACTCTAAAAAACTTAAAATTTAGTATTAATTATATTGTTTTAGTTCTATCCTTACTAATAAGACATATATCATTTATTCAATTATGAAAGTGATAAGGATAAGCTAGTCGAATTGTCAAAACTTTAAACGACAGATAAAAATAACGCATAACGAGAGAAAAAACTTACTCAATAGTTGGAATTTGGTATTGAGGATATCTAGCTCTTAAAAATTGAGACAATTCATCTGGAGTTATATCTGCACTAGAACAAATGTACCTCCCTTTTACTTCATGACTTTCCAAAAGAATTGCTACTCCAATTACCTACAAATTTAATATGACAAGTGAAATAGTAGCACACAATAATATACTTAATTTATACTCCCTTCGTTCATTTTTATTTGTCCACTATTAACTTTGCATACCCCTTAAAAAATAATAAATAAAATACATCATTTACTATGATACCCATATTAATTGATGTATAGTCTTAATGGATTTGAAAAATAATTTGTAATGAGTAATTAATACTAAGGGCGAAATATGAAAATTAAATTATTTTTCTATTGATATGTGAAAAGTGACAAGTAAAAAATGAAAATTTATTTTTAGAATACTTGACAATTAAAAGTGAACGGAGGGAGTATATACCTACTGTAAGAGTGGCAAGTGGGCCGGTCAAAAAGACCGGGACCGCGGACCAAATGGTCTTCTGGGCCTAAACGGGCCTGAACCGGTTAGAACCGTGTACGTGGGCCTGGTCCGGTCTTCCGGGCCGGTTCTTCACTTTAGGACTGCTAGGCCCGGAACCGTTTGGGACCGGGACTGGTCCTTGGCAGGCCCAAACAGTCCCAACAGTCAAAATTCAAAAAACAAAAACTTGCTCGTTGGCCTTTAGAAAATAGCCATTTAGAACCGTGTACGTGGGCCTGGTCCGGTCTTCCGGGCCGGTTCTTCACTTTAGGACTGCTAGNACATTTACTAGTAGCTATGCACGGACTCTCATCACCTCGTGCGTATGTTTTCCCCACAATTAGCAACAATTATTTAATTTAATCACCTATGGAGTAATTTTCCCCTCACAAGATTAGACAAGAGACTTACCTCGTCTTGCTCCAATTTAGTCCACTAGTAGGCCTTTTCCTCGATTATCCAACTTCGATTGGCTCGAATCTAACCAAAAATAATTCTATACAATCACTAAAATTTATAGGAATCAATTCTATAAGGAAATACTATATTTTCAATAAAAATCCCGAAATTAATTAAAAATCCGTTCGTGGGGCCCACATCTCGGAATCCGATGAAAGTTATGAAATCCAACAACCCATTCAATTACGAGTCCACCCATACCAGTTTCACTCAAATCCGACTCCGAATCGATACCGAAATCTCAAAGAAATTCATTTCTAAATATTTCCCAAATTTCAATCTCAAAACACTAATTAAACGGTGAAAACAATGATATATTTGTGTATATAGACCAAATCCGAGTTAGAATAACTTACACCAATGTCTTTCCTTGAAAATCTATCCAAAATCGCCTCTGCTCAAGCTCCAATTTATTAAAAATGGAGAATGGGACGAATGCCTTCTTTTTATAAAACTGCCCAGACAGCCTTCGGAACTGGTCCTCGATCGTGGCTTCGATCACAGGCTCGAGTATGGACCTCGGTCATGGACTCGATCATGGCATCGAGGCTGGGCCTTCGATCAGGGCATCGAGGCTGGGCCTTCGATCAGGGCATCGAGGCTGGGCCTTCCATCAGGGCATCGAGCATGTGCCTTCGATCAAGGCATCGAGCATGGGTCTCGATCCTGGCCCTCGAGCCTTGCCTTCGATCATGTCCTCGAGTTGGAACTTCGATCATGGCTTCGATATCAAGCTCGATCCTGAGCCTCGTCAACCCTGGGCTTGATACATGAGCTTGATATCTAGACTCGATATCTGGGCTCGATCACAGCCTAGAATATCCAACAGAAGAGGAAAAGTTGCAGCAGCCTTTAAGTCCCTTTAAGTCCAACTTTTGATCTGTTAACTATTCGAAACTCACCCGAGGCTCTCGGGACCTCAACCAAATATACCAACAAGTCCTAAAATATCATACGAACTTATTTGAAACCTCAAATCACCTAAAACGACGCTAAAACAATGAATTACACTCTAATTCAAGCTTAATGAAACTTAGAATTTCCAACTTTCACATTCGATGTCGAAACCTATCAAATCAACTCCAATTGATGTCAAATTTTGCACACAAGTCATAAATAACATAACGAAGCTATGAAAATTTTCGAACCTGGATTCCGACTCCGATATCAAAAAGTCAACTCCCCGATCAAACTTCCAAACTTAAATTCTTATTTTTAGCCATTTCAAGCCTAATTTTACTACGAACTTCCAAATAAAATTCCGATCATGCTCCTAAGTCCAAAATCACCATACGGAACTGTTGGAATCATCAAAATTCTATTCCGGGGTCATTTGCACATAATTCAACACCCGGTCACTATTTGAACTTAAACTTTTAATTTTTTATCAAAATTCCATATCTCGGGTTAGGGACCTCGAAATTTGATTTTGGGCATACGCCCAAGTCCCCAATCACGATATGGACCTACCGGAACTGTCAAAATACTGATTCGAGTCCGTTTGCTTAAAATATTGATCATAGTCAACTCAATTGAGTTTTAAAGCTCTAATTCACATTTTAATCCATTTTTCACATAAAAACTTTTCGAAAATTTTTACGAACTGCGCACGCAAGTCAAGGAATGATAAATAGTGCTTTTCGAGGTCTTAGAACACATAATTAATTATTAAATTTAAAGATGACATTTTGGGTCATCACATTCTCCACCTCTTAAATAAACGTTCGTCCTCGAACGGGTTTAGAATTATACCGGAAGTGCTGAATAAGTGTGGATATCTGCTCCGCATGTTTTCCTCGGCCACCCAAGTCGGTTCCTCGACTGATTGGCCCCTCCACTAGACCTTTACTGCAAAATCCTCTTGGAACTCAACTGGCTAACATGTTTATCAACAATGGAAACCGGCTCCTCTTCATAACCCAAGCTATTATCTAGCTGAACTGTGCTGAAGTCTAACACATGTGA